ACACACACACACACACACACATACACACACGATATATATTTGAGTAAGCTGGAGAAACATAGTAAGAAAATTGCAAAATGAGATCTTAAGAAATGTAAAAAGGAAAAGTATATAATAAAATAAATAAACATAATGTAACATTTAACGTCTCCTTTTCCTTAAAAAAAAAAGCAAACAAAAAAAAGAGATATGAATAGGGAACAGAAACATATAAATAGTTTTTATTAATCAAATTGATAAATTGTCTTTATCGTTATGTGAATGAGTCAGACGTACAGATTGATAAAGAGTTCGTGCACTTACGAAGTCGTCAAGTGATCGTACTGTCGTTCGGTCTAACCTTCGCGATGGTTCGAGACTCAAAGACAGAGAGAAGCAAAACAAACATTCCCTTTTGATCGATGAGTTTACATGTGTCTGCAAAGGACATCGAGACTATTTGTACGTTATGCACTACACAAACTAAGAAACCGTAACAACGTTGAGGAATTCTGTGAGAAGGAATGCACAATTGTTCTTCATGAGAAAATAAAGGGATGCGAGTGAGACGTACCGGTTTGCAAGATGTAGACTTTCGTATTAATTCCCACAAGGCACGTAGATCTGCGTCCTTCTTTTCACTTCTAATCCATTCATTGAACCATCCTGAGACGATTGTTTCTCAGTACATGTTTTATTAACATACTTAAAATGAGATTGAACAGCAGTTACTTTATCGTCTTTTTCCTTTGTTTGAAATAACTTAAATGACGTTCAGGTCGAATTTGAATGAGTAAAATATAAAAGCCGAACGTCAACGTGATCAACGGTCGTCAGTATACTGAATTTTACTATACATTGCAAAAATCCGACACAATCCGAAGAATGTCGAAGATGGTCGAACATTACCGATCCATATAATCCCCATCAGTGTATGCATGCATGTGTGTATGTGCAAAGAGTAACTTAAGCTAAATATAGCAATATATTCACCAAGATGGTTGCTTTCTTTTTAAACACCTAATTTTAAACAAAAATTAAACAATTAATAAAGTATTAATCCTTTCTTTTATGATTACATTTCTACAGCATTTGTTTCTATGGTATACTATAGTACTTGCATTGTCAGGATACATACGTTCATGAACAATAGCATGACAGCATGAATACGCTTTATTAAATAAATTATATACAGGTTCTCTCACATACAGACATTGTCGCATCATCGCAATGCCACATGCTTACTAAATAAAATATAAATTATCATACGAAAAGATCTTCGACTACACAACATTGACTTTAGAGGCCTTTACTCTTGAATTAACATGTGTGATTCCAAATATACTCTCATTCTTTCATTGAAATTACATCTTATTATCGTAAGCCAAATCAATTTCTAAAGTATCCTTTAATTGATCTTGTTATCACAAGAAAGAAATTTTCTGTTTACATAAATTTTATGAGAAAAATATAAAATTTTGATTTCATTATAAACCCAGAGTAAGAGAGTATCATCATTCTTTAAGCAAGATGTAAGTGCCTAGAAGATGTAAAAAAAAAAAGGCAAATGTACATACATATCAAAATGCGAAATTTGAAAATAATTTCATGTTCCTTTTTCGTACCAATTCCTTCTTCTTTGTTGTGTCCCTCTTTGTGTCAGGACTCTTTCATATATCTGGTTTATAATAATAGATATTATTAGAATTATCACAGTCTGTGTATTTACAGTTTAAACGTTAACGCAACATTCTTCTTAAATTAATTTAGCAACGTTCTTTTTTTTTTGTGATTTGTGTTCTGAAAAGAACCTCAGGGGAATTAGCTCCATCGTTGCGCATGGACGGCAGAGCATTGCAAAAGGGAAAAAAATATATTTTCAATTCATATAAGATAAAAAGAAAAATGGAAAAAGAATACTTTAAAGGCATGCATATTGGAACTAATGTTTCTAGATCTACTGAATAAATCTGCGTATCGTATGAAATAATATCAATAACTTAATTATTAGTTACATCTTAAAGTTGGACATGTCTTATTTGTATCTTGTATTTACATCTTAAATATTTATACAATGTTGCGTGATAAAAATCTGAAACGTTTCTCCGTACTTCCTTTTTCTTTTTTCTTTTTTTTTCCTTTATCAATCCCTTTTTATTTTATTGTATCTGGACGTCAATAAATTATCCATTTCTTTTGGTTCCTTAATTCTTGAAAATCATTCAAACGCCCAACGTAACAACATTCTCCATTTTAAGCTATAAGGCAGAGTCGAAAGACATAAAATGATTGATAAAAATAAAAGAAAAATATAATAACTTTTTGAGAATTGCACAAACGACGAACATAAGATATCATTGCAATCTACTTTGCAACTACAACTCACTCTGCTCATTTATCTCTCCATAATATTCTCAAAAAAGAGAGAAAAGAAGGAATTAATATTTCATGAAAGATGTTAATTTCCACTTTTTTATACTTGTATCATCCTTATTCTTCCTATTCTCTTCCGCATAAATTAATGCCCTATCTCTCTTTCTTCTGTACGTCCATTGAAAATAGCCTTAACGATTTTGATCGCAAGTACTTCCCTTTTGTCAAATTTCAATTGAATTCACAGGAATTAAAGACTCTAGAAAAAAAGAAAAAAAAAAATCCACTCTCCAAATCAAAATACACCAATCTCTCGAGCAGTCGAATAGACGAGTGACAATCATTCTTTGCTTTATGGTATTCTGTACGCTGTACATTCTAAACGACTCGTTAAAATATCAAGTATTCTATCGTGCGAATCCGAGGAAATCCGTAAGTCTGTCGTTCCAATCGTGAAGCCAGTGAGTAGGTCCATGACTCGATTGCCTCTGTTTGCAGGGATTGATTTCTGACTCCAAGGGCATGTACTCCTCGCCCCTGATGCAGAAATAACTCTTTATCGGGCTTCTGCACATCGGACATCGGTCTAATTTGCCAAAACAAGATGCGCAGATGCAAGTATGTCTGCAGGGCAACAGAGCACGCGACAGAGGAAAATATTGGCAAACAACGCAAAGCTGTTCTCCGGCTGTGTTCCATAACGATCCCTCGGGATCGCCTGTTCCGGAGGCAACCAATGCGCCTCTAGTCGAGCTACCGCTATTGTTACAAGGTTCTGCAAGTGCCAGAGCTGAACCTAGACCTGAAGACACATCTCCTTCATCGTAGTTTGTCGAGTTACCGGTAGCTAGGTACAGTTGCTGCAACAAAAACACAGTTCCATGAGTGTAGTGTTCAATTTGTGCACTGTTACTTAAAACTGTAAGATTACTAAAATGTTCATTTTACATTCAGAACAGTTTCATTCTTACATTAAGTAGTCTTTCAATTTTTATATAACATTATATTATATTTCTTTATAAGACAGGCTTTTTTACCATTTCTTCTTTTTCCAGTGAATGTAACATATTCTCTCTAGGCAAGAGACTAATAAATTGTTTCTTGTGTTACGTGTAACATAAGACATATAAAAATTGAAAGTCTTTGGGACTTTAATAGAAGCCGAGGCTTACCTTGAGACAAGACAACTGGCCATTCGCTTGTTTTAAATACTGCGCCAGGATCGAGGTCGGCAACGTGCATACACTGTCT